ACACAGACACATACAGACACACACACAGTAGCACAGTAAACCTACTGTATAATCCCAAAGGACTGATTACAAAGTGTTGAGGCATCTAGTTATCTTACAACAATAATGTTCCCATAGGAATTGGAAAACAAATGCTTTAAAAAGCAGAAGCTGGCAAATCTGATGATGAGAGTCAACAGAGTCAGTCTGAAGTTGCTGGTGACAGATTAAGAAAAAAGCCAGAGGAGATGAGTTGCTGGTGAATGTTACTACAAAATCATATCAGCTTGCAGGAAGCTTCACATCTCCTCTGTACCCCTGTGAGCCATGCATTTTCATTTCATTCAACTATATCTCTTACAAGACCATTTTAATTACCGTCTCCATCTGTGTGGCTTTCATTTTGACTGTTGTTTCATTTCAATTTCCTTTCCCCTCCTGTCCTCTCTGAACTAAAGGAAACAGTGGCTATGAACACACTTCACCATGGTGATGGCTCCTCAGAGGACAAGGCCAATTTATTTGAAAAGATGTATTTATGTGCTGCTGCTGCTGAAAATGGATTGTAATTGCACATTGAAAGTAGCAGACCAGAGATAATGAAGCAGTGGCATTGCTCTTTTCTGCACTGTGATGGACATGTGACCCATCCAGACCTCTCTTCTCCAGGGCAGTGTAGCTTCCCATCCCTCTACCCTTATTTTTTAATGCGTCTTTGAATGCGTGACAACACTATTCATTCATCACACTTTACTCGACTTGATACTACTGGCACTTTACTGTCTTTGTACGTGTTTCTTTTATTGTATCTTTTCTTATATTGTGTACACTGGCACTGAAGGAACATAACAATAACAAAACATGTCATTGCTCTGTGTACTGTGTATTGTATATGGAGAGGATGACAGGGGCGGCTCTAGAGGGGTGGCATCTGCCTGGCCACCCCAGTTTGGTGTCAAATGCTGTATCATTAGATACACTGGATTGATTTAAAAAGTAATCTGAAACAGTAACAGTAAATCTGTTCTGGCTACATTTGAAGTGATTTAATGAGTCCAATGACAAAAGACGAAAATATGTATTTGGAAAATATTTGGAAATAAAAATGAATTAATTGCTAACGCAACCTTTAGATATTTCTATTCAATGCTTTAATAATGTATTGTTTTTGAGTTCAAATATGTCTGACTACATTTACCCTTGAATGACAATATATCCTACTTTGAACCTTGCTCCTTGAAACGAAATAAAGAAATAACAAATAAATGAAAGCATATTCTATGTCATATTCATCATCATAGTCATAAATCTCCCAGATTTTTTCTCCTGTCTGCTACCACCCTTGAATGACCCCAGTGAATCAAATTCATCGCAAAGTTTAGCATTTAACTAATGCTCTGACCTTTAAGCCCCATTTGAGCCCTGCTAATAAAATGAACACTTTGAAGGTGCTGATGACATCAATTTACCTAAGTGACTCCTGATATAAGCCAAAGCCTTCATAGGAGACTGACAGAGAGGTTCATATGGAATATTTTCTCTCATCATCTAGGACTATGACAGACAGGTGTGTATCCATAAATCAATTTAAATTGCCAGGGATCCAGAGAGAAAGTGGGGGATGAAAGACAAACACACACACATACAGACAGAAGGTGACATATTGGTGTGATACACCATGCCTCCACCGGTAATTGGTTTCCACCACTGCAGGTGCCTGGCAACGATCATAATCTCCAGCTAGTCCAGATGAAAAGAGAAATGAAGCTCTAATTACAGTTAAGACCTGCAAGCTGGCAAGCAACCACAGACAATGCATTTCCTTGGAAATGAATGGATAGTGGTCACCTGGATATTCCATAATGGTTTGCTGATGTTCGTTAAATATATTTTAGCTGAATAGTATCTCACCTACATCAAGTACTTCCTCACATAATGCACTACCATGAAAGAATACACTAGAAAACAATTAAGCTACGCCTTTGCTTTGATTTCAACATTGGCATGCTAATATATGCAGTTACACAGGGGCGATGGAGATAATCCTTCCACAAAGCCTGGGGATTTGAATGTGTTAATGACACTGAGTGGATCCCTCACACAACCTACTCTGACACAATCCTACATCTGAACAAAAGGAGAACAGAGAGCAGGTTTTTATCAGTTTGCCGACATCTTACAGCCAGTAATGGGGCTATGCATACATCTGAGGTCATTAGAGAAAAAACAAATTAGGCCCCCACATAATGAATACAAACCCTCATTGTTGTCAGGGAGTTCAGGCGGTATTAAATCAGCATATCCACAAACACTGCCAGGAGAATGGAACAAGGCCATCTCTCTTAGTTTGCAGTCTATACAAAATCCTACAGTTGTTGAAATCAAATGCAGAGAACAATCAGAAACAATGACATTTTGAGTCATGCACAGAAAAATTCACAGTGACCAGAAAGTGTCACAGAAAGACGTCAGCCACTCTGGTGTAAAATGTATCAATGTTAGGAGCAACATGTCCAAGATTTAACGTTACGCTGCATAACTGCAAACTCTGTATCTGTATGTCTCCCCTATACGGTAGTGCTTGTACACAAAAATGCAGCATATCCAACACTGCCTTTTAATCGTGTTTCCTTCTCAGGGAGCCATTTCTTCCCTTCCTCGCTCTAAACAGGCTTTCATGCAAACATTTCTCCCCCACTGTGCTTGCTCTAAACCAGATATGACGTCCTTACTGCCCACTGTATCAGCATGTGTTTTGGAATGATGAGTCTCAACATCTGCCTAAACAGCACAATAGGTTTCTCATGCTCTGTCTCACAGAACACTGTGCCATGTTGTGCTGATGGTTTCATTCATTTACACCATTCTTCTTCCAAATTGTTCTACCATGGACTTAAAATGAAATTTGTATTTTAATTATGATTAGAAAGTTAATTTAGCTCCTTTTAAATCTCAGGGATGTCCATTTAAAACACATTACTTCCTCTCTGGTCTGGGAGATAACAGAACTCACATAAACTTCCAGGTACGATAACAAGCAAGGTCCCTTGTTAATTTACACTGAACTGCAAATACTTTCCACTGGACCATCAATTCAAGGCCTTGGTTAAGCAAACGTAGCAGCTGACAGCGACATAACAGATTAAACTGGACAAAAGCCAAAATATTTAGCATACTTTATCTCAAGGACAGGAAGATAAATCGATGCATGGTCAAATGTAATAAATGTAAGATCATTTCATGTAGTTCAGACAGTTCAAATGTTTCTGAACCGTTACTGTTGAATACAAATAATTGTCCTCTTTATTGTGGGTTAGATGTAGATGCTGAAACTGGGAAGTTTTTAGAGGAAAAACAAAGCCAGCACTAGTTAACGGTATTTTTACTGCCAACTGTCAACCTGTCCAGCTGAGTCTCAAGTAGTGACGTGTTCAGAGCTGACAGACTGAAACCGTGGTGACGTGGGTTCAGGCAGCCGAGAACACACTATGACCACAAGGAACAGATCAGATCACCATGGTTACCCAGTGTAATAAGGTCAGTGTGTGACGCTGGATGTTACCATCTTAGCTACTACTGGAAGGTTTCCACTTGCAGTCAGTTGTAAATCTAGTTTCTTGGACTGCTGTTCAGCAGAGCACATAATAGCACACTGATTCCTTAATTGGCTGCTTTAATCTAGTACATTCTTAATGAACTCTTAAGTCGCACAGTGGGCAATCCAAAATTTTACTGAAGCATGTCATGGCACATTTACAGAGAGCCCTTTAGTAAAAAACCGTTTCCCTGCAGACACATTTTCTAATGACAAAACAATCTATGGTGGCTAAAAATAGCCCCATTCAGCAGTCCAGCTTTAGAAGACTAGAGGGCAAATCGTGACAATTACACAGCAGAAAATTAACTTTCGCACTCAAAAAAAACAATCACAACAACTGGTGTGATAAAAAACACTTTATTTCCATACCAAGATAGTACAGGGACAAATTTATTGGTTTAATTATTTGCTGAAAACAACTCAAACATACACATCGAACTGAGTCAGCACTGATTTTAGCATGTCAAAGAAATATCTGTAATAGCTCAGGTGTAATAAAACTTACACTACTGGATCTTCCTTGGCAAAAAAAACACTTTGCTTAAAACATCATGAAAATACGTAAGCCAATAATAACCCTGCAACAATAACTCCCCAGAGCATCCGTAAAAATGTTCTCACGAAGGACTGAAGACTTTTAATTGCATGAAAAGGTGCAGTGGTTTTTCCAGTAGTTCACAAGGAAAAGTCTAATAAAAGGTTGAGTGTTTTAATTAAATCTGACTGTACAACAAGTCTTACCCAGATTCTGTTCATGTGTATTTTCTCAGGAAGCCATCCTCTGCAAAAAGCATGAACTTGAAGCCAGTATATACAAGATTTTGAGACATTTTCTGCCACACCCACACTTCACTCATGCCAGAACCCATAACTGAGCTGCTACATAAGTTAAGCTAAGGTTACAAGTTAAAGAGCATTGTACTCCACACACTTTGATGGGACAGTTGTGAAGTGTTTTTGACAGATGGTCATTAGCCTCTTCAGTCCCTGTAGAAAGAAACACAAACAAGGAAATTAAGTTAGCAAGTAATGTGTAAAATTGGACAAATCCCACCTGCTAATAATCCTAACCTCCTCTAGAAACATCAGTCAGTTTAATGCACCGTTATAAGATACGACAATTGTAATATAGCAGATGTAGTGACTGTACACTGAACAGAATAATTCTGCAAACTTTCCATACCATACAGGCAAAATTTGAATACCAGTCATTCATTTATGTTACTGTATGTGGCTACGGTATATGAATTGTCAATGTGTGTCTTTCTGATTTTAGAAACAGTTTCACATAGCGCACATAAATGTTACATAAATAAATTTAAAAAAACCTGTGCACCTCTACTAAGCCTCCTCTAAGTAATCAAAAAAACTATGGGAATAAAGATCAATCTTGAGAATGAAATTTGTCATGCACAGTTGACTATAGTCTGAATATGGCATTTTAATAAATATTATAAATTAATATATATAAATCAATGGTAACAAATAATAATAATAGAAAAATGCTTTGTCGCTGAGCATGAGCTGTCATGTTTTGTAACTCCAATACATTTAACTGTGAAATGTGGCCACATGGTGTCCAACTTGACTTTAATCTAGAGGATACACCAAAGATGAAAATGATTAATTCCTACTCTAAGAGTGTAAAGATCTTGAAGTTATTATTAGCTTGTATTTGATCTTGAGGGTCACTGTCACAGATACTAATCCCAACCTAATAGAGACTTATACTACCTGTAGGGAACAGTCTTATAGTCTCACCTGGATGTATTTTCTCTGTGTCTCATCGTTGAGAACGTGGGCCACGTGCTTGGAGAAGATCTTCTCTCGCCCAGTACGAGCGTGGATACCCACCATTGTCACACCGATAGGCCAGGGAGCATTACCAATGGCCATCTGCAAATAAGCATCATTTGCCTGGACAAAAGGTTGAATTAAGTTAATACATTTGTAAATAATGCTAACACGGTAAAACCACAAAAAAACACTGCTATAAAGATAATATACCTTGACATATTCTCTCTCCAACATGAATTTAATGATGTCTGTGATGGACTCTTTGATGTCAGCTGGTAAACTCTGAAAGTGATAATAGAGAGATTACAACTATTACAAATGAAATTGATATCAAACCCTACACACATTTTACCATCTCCACAAACGTTACCTTCTTCCTGAGCTTCCTGAAGAGAGGTTTGAGGTAAGACTCAGTCTGCGAGTGGGTTGCACTGGCCAGCTTGCCCTGCACACTTCGCTTCACATGGTCCTCACGACTGTTTAGATCTTTGGCCCAAACACCAAGAAGAAACTAGAATATCCACAGGAAAAAATGTGGCTGTTAACAAAGAATTGAAATAGTGACAGACACTAGATAAATTGTGATTATTTGTTTTGACTACTACCATCCACCAAAATGACCTATAATATCTCTTCATCTATTTAACACCAATGCATATTACTGTAAATTAATTTAAAAAAACAACATGAAGAGCAGCCACAGTAGTGGTATAAACATTATCTATCCAACAGCTCCCTCTAGATCAAAAGCAAAGCATTATTTTTTTGCCTTACCCTCAAAAACTTGTCGATAACATCCTGGTCTCCATCATCATCTCCCGTGCCCAGGGTTTTACCAAGAGCCTAAAGAAAAGTTTCAGTATCAGATTATAAGCAGAATCATTACATACTAAAGATGACAAGCATATTTAACACAATTTATAAAATGCATAACCCATAGAAATGTTGCAACTCCGAGTTTGTGATTACTGTGAATGTTACAATATTCTAGTGACTACAAAACTAGTACTATACCAATAAATTGCTCATAACTTGATACCACCAAAAAAATCTTGACTTTCTTAACTCTGCGTTGTACCTCCAGTTCTTCTATAGTGGTGTTTTCTTCATGCACTTTCAGGTCGTGCTGTGTGTCCACTTCTCCTGGCTCTGTTCCTCCAACAATCTCATTCAGATACTGCGCGTCAATCTTGTCCATGGCCGCTTTGAGGTCATTCCTCAAGCCCTAGACCACAGAGGTAACATTAAACAATGTCAATCAGCACACTGTGCTTAAAAATTAGAACAATAACTAGGGATGTAATGATAACTTACAATTCGATACAACAAAACGATTTTGGGTTCACAATTCTTTTTTATGTAAAATGAGACTGACGACAATTTATAACTGACAAAGGTTCATTAATTTCTCTATCAAAATACATTTCCTCTTATAATTTATTTATCAAATTAAAGAATCCTTTATTTCTGAGGAATGGTATAAGCTTCGCAAAACTAAGCGTGTTTCCTTTTATAAGTGAAACTGAAAATATACTCCTGTCTACAGAAAACTGTCTCACATATCTTGCCATGTTATCCGTCGTTTATCTTCTGACTTAAGCCAGAAAGCTGCAACACCACTGATTTTAAACAGCAGTGTCCTAAAGTCTTCACGTGTGGCCGCCATGTCTTTACATCAGGGTGCGAACTACAGGGGAGCCAGGGGGGTGCTCGGCTCGGGTCGGGTCTTTAAAATATGGACAATCTCAGCCCCTCCAGAATTTTGCTGGTTTTTTTTGGGATTGTTGCGGGCTAAAATGTCTGATTTCACCACAACTTTTCTA